CAATTTTTCCAAAAATAATGAGTCGCAATAGATTTATGCAAATATGGAGAATGTGGCATTTTTGCAATAATGATCTATTGTATGACAAGACCGACAAATTATTCAAAATTAGAGAAGTTTTAAATTATGTACAAAACAAATTCCAAACTGTATATACGCCAAAGCAAGAATTGTCACTGGATGAAGGCATAATACCGTGGCGAGGCAGATTATCTTTTCGCATCTATAATCCCGCAAAACTTGTAAAATACGGAATTTTAGTGAGGATGCTCTGCGAAGCAACATCAGGATATATTTACAACTTCAAAGTATATTCAGGCACAGCAGGAAGATTACAAGATACAGTTTTATCAATTCTACGTCCTTATATGGGATTCCATCATCACATTTACATGGATAATTATTATAATAGCGTCAATACAGCCGAATTACTGCTACAGAATTCTACGAGAATTTGTGGAACAATAAGGTCAAATAGAGGATTGCCGCAGAATTTAAAGAACATTAGATTAAATGAACATGAAACGAAATTTGCGAGAAAGGGACAAGTTCTTTTACACCTGTGGCAAGCAAAGAAAAACCGACTAGTAAGAACCATTTCAACCATTCACTCAGCAGAAATGGTAAACGTGTCACATTGGTCAGGAACGAAAACAAAACCCAAATCTGTTGTGGAATACAACAAATATATGAAAGGGGTTGATCGTGCAGACCAATATATGTCTTACTATAATATTCTTCGAAAAACCACGAAATGGACAAAAAAAGCAGTGCTTTATTTTTTGAATGCTGCTCTTTTTAATTCATTTCTCGTAAAAAAAACACTAAATAATAATAAAGTAACATATAAAAAATATTTGCTTCAAGTTGCAAGAGCATTGATAGAAACACACGAAATGCAACATTCATCCACCGAGGAGGCAGAACCTTCGAACGCGATAGAAAGAACAAGACGAGCACCGAGATATGACCCACCAGAAAGGCTTTCTCAAGATTTTAAAAAACACAGATTACTACCAATTGTAACAAATGGAAAAAAAGCATATCCTCACCGAGCATGTAGAGTATGCTCTGCTAATAAGAAAACTGGATATACGCGATATGTTTGTGAATATTGTAATGTACCACTGCATAAACTGGCATGTTTTGAACGATACCACACAGTAAAAAAATATTAAAATGCATTATTATTGTTTTATTTCATGTTTGGGTTATTTATCTTCAGTCATCTTTAATGTTCATAATTTTCAAACTCTATTACATATACTCTATTACTAACTCTATTACTTTTTGAACAACTACAAAAAATAATTGGTATATATTTTTAATTTCATGTTTTGTATAAACAATATGTGAAATCGTTAAATAAAATTGTTACCCCAAGATATAATTGACACTTAAATAATTTTCAAACTACTTTGATTTTAAGTACCGCATATCAGTCCGCGTCACTTGCGAAACCTGCGTGGTGGACAGCGTAGTTTGGGTTGCTCGAGCGTGGTGGAAACCATACAGTTCGCTGCGGCGCGCGTGGTCGGCTAAGTGTTAAAAAGGAAATGTCGATATTTTTAAGTAGGATGTCGCGGTATTGTTAACGTAGACCAAGCGCGTGGGAACAAGATCAGAGTTGGTTTGGAGATTGGAATTTTCAAAGATTCTAGGGTCATCGCGTCGTGTGATAATATATAATAATAATAATAATAAATTCAATTTTCCTTGTTTATAAAAGGGGTCTAGAATGCGCGAAGTCCGCAGGACATAACAGTTAAATTGATGTCTTTCGACAACTTGGCAGTGTCCTAAGCGAACGTAAAACGTAACGTTAGTTAAAAAATAGAGTGTGATTGAATTTGAAACGTTCACTATTTTTTCCTGCAACTCTTCTAAATTTTCGGACCTAGTCTCATAAACCTTTGTTTTCAAATACCCCCAGTAAAAAAAGTCTAATGAGGTCAGATCTAGTGATCTCGGTGGCTATTCTATTGTGCCTCTTTTACCAATCTATCGATCAGTAAAAATATCGTTGAGAATATTTCGAACTTCCAGAGTAAAGTGAGCCGGAGCCCCATCCTGCTGAAACCAAACATTGTAGAAGCTTGTCCAGCAATTTCCTGAGTAGCCGGTATCACTTAGTTTCTTAGCAAATTGCAATAATTTTGTGAATTTATGTTTCTTTCAATAAAAAACGGTCCTATAATACGATTAAGCATTATTCCGGCCCAAACGTTGACCTTCTGAGGATATTGCGTGTGACTGTCTCTCATCCAATGTGGATTTTCATCTGCCCAATATCTCATATTCTGTCGATTTACAGAACCGTTTTATTCAAATGTTGCTTTGTCAAACAAACAGGTCCAGTTGAAGAACTGACGATTATTAGCAAGTCGTATCATCACTGTGCCGCAAAATTCCACTCTTCTGTCATAATCGTCTTCGGATAGCTCCTGGACTAGATGTATTTTATAAGGATGATAGTGATGCTTCTTCAAAATTCGATGGACTGATGTTGTGCTAATATCATTTTCTTGAGCTGCTCTCAAGACCGATGTATGGAGATTATCGTATACAATTAGCAGAACATCTAAAGCTTTTTCGTCATTATTAGCATTTTTGGGTCTTCCAGATCTAGGCGCATTTTTAATTATACCGGTTCTTTGGAAACGACCAATAGTTCTTCCAACAGTTCTTTGACTTTGAAATTGGTTCATAGTCAGGATATGTAGCAGTGAATAAATCCGCTACTTTTCGATAGGACCTTATTCTGTCATTATACCTTCTTATCATCAATACAGTGATCTCTTCCGTATCAGTTAAAGCATTTTCTGACAATAGAAATGTACTAAAAGTTGTTTGGTTTGAACTCAAATATCAATGCCCGTATGCCGGCGACCTATGATATGAAATGCAGTAGTTGATGTTTCTACAGAGAATTCTCACTTGTAAACTCATTATTTCACGCGGTCGCTTGTGAATTTTCGAGAGCGTTTGTCTAATATATTTTTTGCTTTAGTATTTTTCATTTTAATACATTTTTGAAAATGCATTTAACTGATACGGAAAGGATCACTGTATTGATGATAAGAGGGTATGGCGACAGAATAAGGTCCTATCGAGAAGTAGCGGATTTATTCAATGCTACAGAATATGAGGTATTGGGCAAATGAAAATCCGCATTGGATGAAAGACAGTCATACGCAATAGTCTCAGAAGGTCAACGTTTGGGCCGGAATAATGCTTAATCGTATTATAGGACCGTTTCCTATTGAAAAAAGAAACATAAATTCTAAAAATTATTGCAATTTGTTAAGAAACCAAGTGATACCGGCTATTCAGGATATTGCTGGAGAAGCTTTCCATAATGTTTGGTTTCAGCAGGATGGGACTCCGGCTGATTTTTCTCTGAAAGCTTGAAATATTCTCAACAATGTTTTTATTGATAGATAGATTGGTAAAGGAAGCACAATAGAATGGCCACCGAGATCATTAGATCTGACCCCATTAGATTTCTTTTACTGCGGGTATTCGAAAACAAAGGTCTATGAGACAAGGTCCGAAAATTTAGAAGAGTTGCGGGAAAAAATAGTGAACGTTTCAAATTCAATTACACCCGATTTTTTAACTAACGTTACGTTTTACATTCGCTTAGGACACTGCCAAGTTGTCGAAGGATATGGATTTAAACATTTGATAAAATAGTTAGTGTTTTTATTCCTTCACATACACCAGTATTCCCATTCCGGTCTTGCCTTAGTTGGCCGGACATGCACACACACGCACACACGCGCGCACACACACACACACACACACACACACAAACAAAGAGGGTTTGGAGTCGTTAAATATTACGAGGCTGACGAATCGTGGAGTCCTTATTTTTGTTGACACACACACATACACACATACAGATACACGCATGCCCGTGTGAAACCTTATATTTCTTCTGTTGTCGCCGTGGGCCCTCGCTATCGCAAAATCTCAATAGAAATGTTCAAATCATAACTCTGAAAAAAAATCGTAGAGACCTCAGCGACCTCGCGTTGTTTTCATCTCGGAAAGCTCTTTCGAACGAGCCCTCACTCAACCCCACATGTCATTTAAGATTTTTTGGCTCCCCCGTCCCCCCGTCCCTCAGAGGTATAGAAATGGGTATTTTTGTGGTTAAATAATAGACTTTGTGATCCCATTGTATCCCTATAAATTTCAATCCTACATTTCAAACCATTTAAAAATTATTTAGGTTGTCCGGAATTTTTGGTAGGCACTGTATAAAAGTATAATAAGTTAAGTTAGGTTAGGATTTTTTAGGAGGGCAAAGCCCCTCCCTTGCTTATGCAGGATGTCTTAAAAATACTGGTATCCCCAGCTAACTTTGCAGGACTAAGTTCTCATGAAAAACTTTAAATACAAAAGTTGTAGAAAATCGAGTAATAGACTTGATAGTGACCTTTTGACCTCGGCAATGACTTTCGAGGTCATTTGGAGGTCAACTTACGTTTTATAAATGAAAACCCTTATTTTTCATTACACTTTTTTCTACCAATTAATTTGAATAACTTTTGTCTGAAACATTTTTTTATTTGCCTAATATTTTTTTAGATATATGAGGAAAACTTGATAACTTTTTCAATATTTAACTCACGATATCTCGCTAACTATTTGTCGGCAGAAAAAATAGTACTAGACTTTCTTGCTTTATTTAGTCTCAAGAATATATTATTACAAAGCGCCCTGACTTTTGTTAACTTACTAACTTTTGGAAATTTCAAAAACATCAAATTAACAAAAATCAGGGCACTATTGTAACAATATATTCTTGAAACTAAATAAAGCAAGATAGTCTAGTACAACTTTTTCTGCCGACAAATAGTTAGCGAGATATCGTAAGTTAAGTATTGAAAAAGTTATCAAGTTTTCTTCGAATATCTAAAAAAATTTTAGGTAAATAAAAAAATATTTTAGACAAAAGTTGTATGGAGACTTAATAATATTTTGCAACGTACCTGTTATGACGTGTCTGTTGGTTATGAGAGACCCAGCACATTGAAATTCAAACTCAATTTTCACGAGGAAGAGAGCCACTAACCACGGCCATTGTCCTGGCGATGTTTTGATCCCTTTAGAGATCAACGGATTAATTTCATTAATGTTAATGCTGCGGCCACAGTTATCATTGTTTATTTGGTTGGATTGAGGTAGAGGTCGAGGTTGAGGTTGAGGTTGAGGTTGAGGTTGAGGATTATTAGGATTTAGAAATATGTTTTTATCAATCTCGTCAGAGAGGCTAACACGTTCAGTGGTTGTTGGATATTGTATAGTAGGTTTCTTCGATCCCAAAGGACGATGAATCGGTTGAATCGTCGGTATCATGAAAAATGGTCTGATCGTCTGTACTTCTGGTATAATGAACTCCGGATTGTATGTTTCCATATTATGCGGCGGTTGAATATTAGGAGGGGAATTGTACGAGAGCGGTACCACATCTGGCGGATACAGAGTGTGCTCCAGCACAATAGAAGTAACGACTGATCCCACAGCTAGAAAAATAAATGGAACATACGATCAATTGAAATATATGTTCAGTGGAGGAGAAATTGATTTTTTTCCGAGGAAACAACTCCTTCAGAATGTGAATTTTTTTTGTACCTTTCAAATAGTACAATACTCACCACGAGGACCCGTGCAATATACTTGATTGTTGAACAATATCTCAGTCACTAATGGAATTGGTCGTCGCAGGGGAAAATGAATGTGGTACAATAAGGGTCTACCTTCTTGTACAGCCTGAACAGAGTCTTCTTTTGATTGCGCCAGTTTTAGTTGACCAACATATTTCTGAAACGCATCAATAATTGATCTGTTTTAAAACAAAAAGCAAAATTGGATTAAGATCAATATTGAAAACTGCATAAGTGAAGTTCTTCTCAATGCTCATTCATAGTTGATATATTGTATGTTATAAATATAATTATTATGTGTATTATTATAAATATAATTATAAATATTATTAACGAAATAGGAATATGTGTATGTTTACCGTGGGTAGCGCAACAGCGATGCTTAAACCCACTCTCAAATGGAGTTCGACATTTCTTGGCGGGGACGGAATCTGAACTTGTCCCATTATTTCGTTTGTTGAACGATCAGTTATATATGTAAAGTATTGAAGACACGGAGATTGCCCGGATACTTCTATCAGCATATAAAGCAGCTGCAGCAGCAATGTCATCAAAACAGGAACTTTAAACATCGTGAAATGCTGTTAACACAGATAAGATATAACAAGAATAACAAAAATAAGATTCACATTTTGTGACGTACGGAATTTAAGTATGCAATGTATTCTCTTTAGTTTTAGTAACTGATGATTTTTAAACACTTTTTATTGTTCCATGCGCGATAAAACTTATTAATAGTTATATTTCTAATAATATACTTTTGATATTTTTTTCTTAAATGTTATTGAACTTTATTCGTATATATATTGGGGACATGAATAAGCTCACTGTTTTTTCGTGAAAATGAATGCTTTATTAAAAAAAATTAGTAAAGAACATGTCATTGAAAGTATTGCCCATTGCTAGCCACTACTTTCTCCCATCTTTCTGGCAACATACGAATACCATGTTGAAAGAATGACTCATCTTTCGAAGTTATCCACGAATCGACCCATTTTTTGGCATCTTCATAAGAATGGAAGTGCTGTTCAGCCAGGCCATAAGTCATCGATCGGAACAAGTGGTAATCGGAAGGAGCAATGTCCGGTGAATACGGCGGGTGGGATAGGACTTCCCATTTGAGTGTTTCCAAGTAGGTTTTGACCGGTTTTTCAACATGTGGCCGAGCGTTGTCATGCTGCAAAATTACTTTGTCGTGTCTCTCCTCGTATTGCGGCTGTTTTTCTTTCAACGCTCGGCTCAAACGCATCAATTGTAGTCGATAGCGATTTCCCATTTCGTTGGGTTTCGTTGGGTTTGAGGAGCTCATAATATATACACCCAGCTGATCCCACCAAATATAGAGCATGAGCTTGGAACCATGGATATTCGGCTTTGCCGTCGATGTTGATGCATGGCCGGGCTTACCTCACGATTTTCTACGCTTCGGGTTATCGTAGTGTATCCACTTCTCATCGTCAGTCACGATACAATGCAAAAAATCTTTCCTTTCCTGTCGTTGGAGCAGCTGTTCACACGTGAAAAAACGCCGTTCGACATCTCTGGGCTTCAATTCGTACAGCACCCAATTTCCTTGCTTTTGAATCATTCCCAATGCTTTTAAACGTTTAGCAACTGTTGTGTGATCAACTCCTAATGATTCTGCAAGTTCATTTTGCGTCTGACATGGGTCTTCATCGAGTAATACTTCCAATTCTTCGTCTTCAAACTTTTTTAGTGCGCCAGAGCGTTCTTTATCTTCAACATCAAAATCATTATTTTTAAAGCGTCTAAACTAATCTCTGCATGTTGTTTCCGACAAAGCATGATCGCCGTAAGTCTCCACAAGAATTCTATGTGCTTCAGCTACAGATTTTTTTTTGAAAAAAGTAATGCAGTAAAATTCCCCGCAAATATTCTTTTTTTGGCACGAAATTCGACATGTTTAACGCTATGAAAAAATATGTTGTTTACGCTTCGGCGAAATAACATATACTGTCACTTCGAGCCTAATGGTGGAGCTTCATAATGAAGTTGGCTGTAGTATTGCCCGATGCAAAAAGACTAAGATAACACCATCCGTCGGGAAACTGCGAAAACTTATTCAAGTCCCCAATAAAAAGGTAAATACCCATGTACCTGCTTATATACTAGATGTTGTAGTGCTAATATTATAAATCAGAAATTTTAAAAAACAAAAGGAAATATTCGTACCAATCACAAATGAATTAAGAAAATTTATACAGCATGTAAATAAATTTATATTATTAATTACATTTTTATGATTCCATAGAACATTCTTAGCAAAAAAACACGATTTAATAATGTTACAAATAATAGGGTGTCCGGTAATTAGCTGCCAACTTGAAGTGTGAAGGTAGATTAGGTTAAGACAAACATAAAAGTCCCATACTGTTTTGCGAGATTCGTAATAATTATCGAGTTATTAATTACAGAAATCTGACGAATGAGCGCGCGCTGTAATAGATGATTGGAGAAGCATCGCAGCCTCTCGAGTTATAGCGCGACCCAGCAACTGTTGACGATGTGCGGCAAGACGTAGATACGGTGAGATAAAACAACGAATAGCTGCACGTTGTCCTTCCCTTCACCGCGCATTGACCTGAGCAGCTGCAACGCTTCTCCAATGATCTATGTCGGCGCGTTCCCACCCTTCAGATTTCTGTCATTAATAACTTGATAATTATTACGAAATTCGCAAACTAGTATGGGACTTTTATGTCTGACTTAACCCAATCTACCTTCACATTTCGGGTTGGGAGCTAATTACCGGACACCCTGTATAATTAGATATGTGACAAGTACCTGATACATTCTGATTGCAGATAATGTTTAATAACAGAAAATGTCAGTTACATACAGTCAGGTACGCCTGCTAAATTATACATACATATGTATAATGAATTTAATTCAAAATTCAATATAGTGGGATATAATATGCACGTTATTAAATATATTTAATGGATGATCAAAACGTAACTATCATTATTATATTACTGCAACTACTATTATTATATTTTATTATACAGGGTGTTCTAAAAAGATATGTCAAAAATTTAAGGATGTATTCCTCACACTTGAAGGATGAAAAAATGTTATATGGTTATAGGTGTGGAAATGTTTATTTTAGAAGTTATGTTGAAAATATTGTTAGCTGTATTATTGTTATACTTACACAATACTTACACAAGGAAAAATTTAGGATTAATTATTATAGACGACAATCATTTAATTAGGCTTATTTACATTTGGTTTTATAATTAGTATGACCTTGAGTTAGTTACAATAAATGTTGAAAGTGTTCGCTATTCGCCTGAAAAGCAATGACACGTTGACGTATTGAGTCACTGCTTGTATTCAGGCGAATGGCGAACATTTTCAACATTTATTGTAACTAACTCAAGGTCACATTAAAACTAAATGTAAATAAGCCTAATTAAACGATTGTCGTCTACAATAATTAATCCTAAATTTTTCCTTGTGTAAGTAATACAGCTAATAGTATTTTCAACATAACTCCTGAAATAAGCATTGCCGCACCTATGTCCATATAACATTTTTTCATCCTTCAGGTGTGAAGAATAACTCCTTAAATTTTTGACATATCTTTTTAGAACATCCTATATAGCTATAATATATTTTGAGTAGGGAATTACAATTATATAAATATATATATATCCTGTATAACATGTATGTTACATGTAACCAGTATATTATATTGGACATTATATTTTGTTACATTATAACAGTATAATAGTTATCATTATATTTGCTATAATCATATTTGCTACCAATATTCTAATTTAGTAGTGAGAGAAAATCAAAACATAGAGTGATAGGAATGAAATCATTATTTTATAAGGAAATACATGAGACAGTCTGTTTCAGATTTGAATGAGCTCGAAATATGTGTAAATCAAAATAAGGGATATATATTTCTTAATTTTTTTATACGTGCCAATCAGCTTTTTAAAGAGCGAAATATCCCTTTGAAAAAAATTAATATTTTTCTTTCAAAACATGTGTCATGAAAAGTATAAGAGATAGAAAAAACTTTTCGAATATAAAGAAGAAGGGGCTATAAGGCCGATTTTCTGCCCTGCACGGAATTGATTCACATTTTGCAGAAATAGCCTACATAAAAGTTTTTATAATTTCCTTAAAGCATTTATGAAAATAGCGTTTCAATTCGGAGAACGAGGCATCTAAAATTCTAGATTTTGTATGAGATTTCATATATTTGGAGAATGTTTGTTATAATTCACTTTGTTATTGATTCACCCCAATCACCAAAATTTCTCAAAAACTTTCTGAGTATTATCTTCAAAATATAAAATTTTGGTAATTTTAATTAAGTGCGCACATATTAAGAATGAGATTTGAATTCAGAGATATCGCATCTTATAGCGCAAGATTTGATCGAGATCCTGAAAAATTTCGAGAAATATAAGTTTTACAAAAAAATATTTCAAATTATAGTTATAGTGCTCGAAATGACCTATTTACTAGTATTATCAATTTGACCTTGGATGGTGTCGTCAAGGTCAGGGCAAGGCCACTTTGAATTTTTTAAATAAAAACCCCTACTTTTTATCGCATATTCTTGTAGCTTTTCTCGAGAGCTTTGCAAAACACTATAATAAAATATTTTTTCATTAAGTACTTTCCGACTTATGAAGCTTGAAAGTTGCAGTACCACCAGTATTAACATTATCCAAGATGCACCACGCAAAGGTTGCCTAGTCGGATTTACACCTCTCTTGTCCCGCGTCGACTATCCTCGAGATATATTCAATCCTGTTTACGAACTACGAGAACAAAATATGGTGTGTCTGCCGAACTCTGTCGAATGCTCGTGACACTTACGCGTTCTATTTTCAATTGAAAATCTTTGAGCTTTTTTTCACATGAATGTATATATAACATTTTCTTTATTATTTCATTGTTTATTTACCGTTGTATCGCATCTATTTCAGTTGTTCAACTGATAGTAATGTACGAAGGTAGTCCCAGAAGTACCTGACCTGACGTACACATGTGTATAGATGATGATTGTTGTTTGAAAAGAATGACTATGGTAGAAAGTACTAACCTTATAAAGCTTAAGTTTGAAGTTTAACGACGCTACGTTGTTTAGTATTTGTTTGGCAGCCATCAATAGTGAATGCTCTCAGTGAATTTGTAAACATGGAAAAAATTGGTCATCGTTATGTGATACAATACTTTCATTTGAAAGGCCTCAGTCCAACCAATATCAAAGCGTAGCTAGATTCTACTCTGGGAGAGTCTGCTCCTTCATTTACAACAATAAAATATTGGGTGGCAGAGTTTAAACAAGACCGTATGAGCTGCCAAGACGAACATCGTAGTGGTCGACCAAATGAGGTGACCACGTCAGAAATGGTGAAGAAAACCCACAAAATGGTATTGGATGACTGTCGACTGAAAGTGCGCGAGTTAGCAGACATAGTAGACATTTCAAAAAGTGCTGCACATCGCATATTGACTGAAAATTTGGACATGAGAAAGCTGTGCGCAAAATGGGTGCTGCGATTGGAACAAAAACAGCGTCGTGAGGATGTTTCAATCGAGTGTTTGGCGAAGTTTTGCAGCAATAAAACTGAGTTTTTGCGTCGATTCATAACCATGGATGAAACATGGATCCATCACTTCACACTTGAGACGAAGGAACAGTCAAAATAATGGACCAAGGTGGTTTGATGGCTATTTTGAGGAGCTCGACGATTCCCACCATAAACAAGGTATCGAAGCTATTGAACATCGCTGGGAAAAGTGTATTGAGCTAAAAGGAGACTATGTAGAGAAATAAAGATATTTTTTCCCAAATTTTTTGTGTTTTCTTTGTTAGGTCAGGTACTTCTGGGACTACCCTCGTAAATACTGTTTCTTATATGTAAGTTACTTATAACTTTAAAAAAATGTCGAAAATAAGTTGTTGCGATAGCTGTGGAAAGCGAATAAAAACATTAGATTTAAGAATTCTTAAAGATGAAAATAGTTTAGTTATATTACGCAATCGCAATCCGAATTTAAAATCTTTATCACAAGTGTATTCGAAAAGCCGATATATAATTTCTTCGCATTTAAAAAAGCAAAAATCTGATCCTGGTAAGAATGATTAGTCTCATCAAAGCGAATCCACTTCTTCTTTTATATTATGTTGTACTATGCATGACGAGGTTAAACGCATTCGTTATCATCAAAATGAATCTGCTTGCTCTTCGACTCTTAAGGATTCTATATCGAATCCTATAGATTCTGTTTCATCTGAATCCAGTGTGTATTCAAATATTGTTGAAGCTCAGCAACCTGAACATCAGATTCCTTCTAATACGAGGGTCGTTCAATAAGTCCTTAGAAAATCCAAGAGATGGCGCTCGTAGTATCGAAAATGGTTTATTTTTAGTAAGCATCATTACTCACTAGACAGCTGTTAAAGTCTCAGTTATATCCATCACATGGTTTCATTTTTATTGTCGATTGAAGCAACAAACTTTTCTTTATTTAGAAAAATGGAAAAAAGTGAGTTTCGAATGGTGATTAAATACTTATATTTAAAAGGCTTAACACCGAAAGAAATTAAAGCTGAGTTAGATGAAGTTCATGGCACATCTGCTCCTGTGTTTGCAACTGTTTACAATTGGGTAAATGAGTTTAAACGTGGCCGTACATCCACAAAAGATGAACATCGTTCGGGACGTCCAGTGGAAGTGACTACCCCCGAAATGATTGACAAAATCCACGATATGGTTTTGAATGATCGACGAATCAAAGTGCGCGAAATAGTTGAGGCCACAGGCATATCACAAGGTACAGTGTTTTCAATTTTGCACGAAAAATTGGGTGTGAAAAAAATCTCGGTAAGATGGATGCCGCATTTGCTCTCAGTGAAGAATAAACGCAATCGTGTGGTCGACTCTGAGGCTATTTTAGCGCTTTTCCGTCGCAATCCTGACGAATTTCTGCGTCGATACATAACTGTGGAAGAAAAATGGATACACCACTACACTCCAGAGGCAAAGGAACAGTCAAAACAGTGGGTTTTTGAAGACGAATGGACTCCGAAGAAGGCGAAGACGATGAAATCGGCCGGAAAGTGATGGCCGCGGTTTTTTGGGATGCACGCGGAATCATCTACACCGATTACTTGGAAAAAGGACAAACAATAACTGGAGAGCATTATACGTCATTATTGCACCGGTTGAGCGAAGAAATCAAGAAAAAACGTCCTCATTTGAAAAAGAAAAAGATCCTCTTCCATCAAGACAATGCACGGGTGCACACCTGCGCAGTTTCGATGGCCAAAATTATGGAATTAAAGTTCGAATTATTACAACAACTGTATTCACCGGATTTGGCCCCCAGTGACTTTTTTTATTTCCAAACTTGAAAAAATGGCTCGGCGGACAACGGTTCATGTCGAACGAGGAGGAGGTCATCGCCCAAACAGATGCCTATTTTGAAGACCTTCCGAAATCCTACTTTTTGGACGGCTTAAAAAAGTTGCAGAAACGCTTGGAAAAGTGTATAGAGCTAGAAGGAGATTATGTTGAAAAATAAAAAAAAATCTACCCAAAATAATTTTTTTTCTATCTCTTTCTAAGGACTTATTGAACGACCCTCATATTATGTCCAGTTCTAAAAGCATAGAATTATATATTGATAAATGCATCAGTTCGCATAGAAAGTGCATTGTTTGCAAAAAAACAATCAATCTGGTTAACCTTACACTTGCAAATCGTTGTGAAATTTTTATTGAAAGGGGAATAATTGTTCCTTCGGGAACAAGATGCTGCTCACATCATGTAGAACATAACAGTTTAAAGAAAGATTATTAATGCTATAGAATTATTTTATATATTAGATTTATATATTAGATTTATATATATATATATTAGATTATTAATGCTATCAATGCTATAGAAGTAGTATCAAATGTTTCTATTCTTGATAATACAAGCAACTGCTTCATAATGCTAGAAATGCTGCTTCAAAGAATGGATTAAACTTTGATAGTCCAAACAGTTTCTCAGATACTGATTATTATAGATTAACGGATGTTTATAAAAAGCAATTTGGTTCAATCGCAGAATGTATAAGGAATAATATAAGATCTACAAGCGTTAGATCTAATCTTGGCTATATTGTTAACAAAACTGAGAACAGGCCTTTCGCATTCTGTGCTGTCTACTTTATTTTCAATTCAAAAGAGGTCAGTAGGTAAGGCTGTCGCATCAGCATGAAATGCTTTAATGCAATCTTTTGTGCCCAAGTTTTTAGGTACCAGTCACATCTCGTGTGAAAAACTGATTTCAAACCATATAAGAAATACAGCCAAATATTTGTTTGCGAATGGAGAAAATGTTTGCATTTTAATCGTTGACGGGACTTACATATACATCCAAAAAAGTTCTAATTATACTTTTCAACGACGTTCCTATTCCATGCATAAAGGACTGTGACGTGACGGCCGTGGAGGCGCCCGTGCGAACCCTCGGTCCCTACGCGAGATTTGCGGGGGGGGAGAGAAGATTATTGCGCGAGCTTTGCGGGGGAAGGGAGCCGAATTGCCCCCCACCCCGACTTAATTAGAAATTAGCGTTAAGAGTGTGCAGGTGCGACGGTCTCGCGCTCTCGAGTTTTGTGCCCTTGGACCTCCCGAGCCGACCGCCAGGACAAGAGGATCAAGAGGATTTGGAGATCATCGCTCACCGCCTGCGCGGCCCGATCAGGTGATTGCTCTCAATTACCGTCTCGCATATGTAGGCTCCTGTCGTCCTGAATGATATTATCGCTGCCATTTTTGTTTCCTACAGACCCAGAGGACAACACGGAAACAGCCAGCTCACGTACAGCCGATCACGTTCCCGACCCGTGGTCCGCGCGTCAAGAAAACAGCGTCTAGACGAGTATCGAAGACAAGGCGCGCGGATCCACGGGCGAGACAAGGAAAGAGAGAGAGAGAGAGAGAGAGAGAGAGAGAGAGAGAGAGAGAGAGAGAGAGAGAGAGAGAGAGATAGAGAGCGAGAGCGAGATGAAGCATCCGTTCCGCGGAACCATAACAATGATCCGCGGAAGGATTGCTATACCGCTAGAGTAGGCGAGGGACGGGGAGAGGAGAACCCCCTCGCAAAAACGGAGCAAAAGAAGAAGATTCCGTTTTTCCGTGGAGAGAGAAGACAGATTCGATTTTGGCCTCGAAGAGACAAGAGCTATTTTCCGACTCAAGACGAGACGAATCGTTTTCCGCTCGCCGAGAGAGTACTGTTCAGTAGCCGTAGGAGAAGCGTTGTTTTTTTTGTATTCCGACGGCCAAAAGGAAATTAATACCGTACCGCCCGCACCTGCCGAAGGTTCCGATCCCGATCAGGGAATCGCGAGTGCTGTGCAGTGCCGTGCAGCATCGAGCCAGGAGAGACTCACGGAGGAGAGGAGCGCATTCCACCTCGACCCCGGACCGACCCGACCTAGGACCGCCGACGCCACGCCGCCGGGAGGTTTCCGAGATTGTAAGACCGTCCACCTGCTCTAATTGTTCGGCGTCTCGTTTTCATCTTGTGTCCCGCGCACTTATTGTGCGAGCAAGCGGTGTCAATTCCGCGGAATTAACGCGACTAGTAATTGTTAGAACACTTTGTTATTTTGTGAACAACAAGGTTAAGAAAGGAAGTACGCAACTATGCTGATACGTTTAATAAGCTATATTTAATGATAGCTTTACAGTGAACATAAGATACAACATGAACACGCGAATCACATAAAAGAGAAAGAAGAGATATTACAAAACAGCGACTTCGCTATAGCATGAACTATCGTCATTTTCGAAAGAAAAGAACTGACTCTATAACCAATGTCCCCGCTCCCACCTTTGTCCCACACTTGTAGAAGTCTACTAAAGAGGGAGCCAGTCATAAGACAGATGGCGTTACTTAGCGATCGTGTGTGAAACGATTCAGTAATATAAACTAATAATAATAATAATAAGCACGCTGAATAATTCCAACAGTAATTGTACCGGGGTTTCGGAGCTTATCGATTCCCGAGACCGAATAAATCGCAGTACCGCTTAGAATACTGCATTCTTGTGTTTTCTCACCCGTTCCCGAATTTCCGCCAGAACCCATCCCGTCTACCGACCATAATTCCCGTAGAACTACTGGGTCCGTCGAACTCTCGCGTCGCGGCAGACCGTTAATTATTTCTTTTTCGTGTTGGTGATCGGTGCGGCTATCCGCACCTGGCGCCCAACACTTTTGTGCGAGTACGAACGGCCGGGACGCGTGGGCCGACGGCAAAGAAGATAACGTCGCAGGACGTAATCTATTAAAACCTATGATGTTCGTGAGTACTACTGAATATATAGTAGAAGTTTTGGGTCCATACTTCGCAGACGGGAAAAACAATGACGCAAATATTCTTAATAGTCTGATGATGTCTGGTGCAAGTGAGCTAAGACGATGGCTTAGCCCTAATGATGTGTTTGTCGTTGACAGGGGCTTCAGAGATTCTCTCGAAATGTTAGAAGAACTCGGTTTTGTCTCAAAAATGCCTAATTTTTTAGAAAAGAAAGCTCAGCATACTTCTGATGAAGCAAATCAGTCTCGTCTTGTTACTCATATATGGTGGGTTGTAAAGGCAGTTAACGGATTACTAAAACAGTGGAAAGATCTTAATCAGGTATTTCCTAACTCGCAAATCCCATTTTTAGGTCAATATGTAAGAATAGTGTGTGCTTTATGTAACGTATTTCGACCTCTACGAGTGTCACATAACGCAGAAGATGTTATAATATCTGAACGAATGTTACAATTAGTTGGAACACGAAATCTTCTGCAGTAACGTGTGGAACAAAAAAGTTGGGCAAGGAAAAGTGCAACGTGGATTCCTGTAACAGCAGACACAGTTATCGAATTTCCTAAATTGATAGAAAATGAACTGAGATTTATAACACTTGGGAGTTATCAAATAAAACAGGCCAAGTCACACACGTAAGAACATCTTGCTTCTGATGGCATGTATAAACTATTTATACATAAGGAAAACATAGATATTTTACGTGTACGAATACAATCACGGCACACAACATCTAAACAGTATAACCTACGGATCCAGTATACTTGTATTGGAATAAATCCTATCACTGGCTGGTACTGTCAGTGTAAAACTGGAGCACGAACAGTTGGATGTTGTGCCCATATTGCTTCAGTTTTATGGTATCTCAGATATTTTAGGAACTTCAGGGAAGTAATCTCACGCCTTTCTTCCCAATATACAGATAACGTTGACGATGCTGTTGTAAATTGGTCTGAAACAGATGATTAGAAAAATTTCTATTGTGGTTAAAAGATATCTATACACCGGTACATGCAGCACACACCACTCTATCTAAAAACTAAATAAAATCGGTCAGGGCCAAATATTCAACTATGTAGGGTTCTTGATAACACTTGATAGCAAGTGTGACACATATACACATATTCACACACGCATACACAACAGAGAGAGTTTGGAGTCGGTAAATACTATGGGAGTGACGCACCATAGAGTCTTTATCTCTGCTGAGACAAAAACACACACACACGCACGCACGCACACACACATACATGCGCGCGCGCGCGTGCGCACACAGACACACGCACACACGCACACACACACACACACACACACACACACAAGAGATGTAAATCCGACCAGGCAACCTCCGCGTGGTGCATTTTGGATAATGTTAATACTGGTGGTACTGCAACTGTCGAGCTTCATAAGTCAGAAAATACTTAATGAAAATATATTTTGTTATTGTGTTTTGCAAAGTTCTTGAGAAAAACTACAAGAATATGCAATAAAAAGTTGTGAATTTCATTTAAAAAATTCAAGGTGACCTGACCTTGACGACGCCATCCAAGGTCAAATTGATAATATCAATAAATATGTCGTTTTGAGCATTACAATGTTGGAAACATTTTTCTGTAAAACTTATATTTCTCGAGATTTTTCAAGATCTCGATCAAATCTTGCACTATAAGGTGCGATATCTCTGAATTCAAATCTCATTCTCAATATGTGCGCACTTAATTAAAATCATCAAAATTTTATATTTTAA